GATCCTACCTGCTAAAGACTTCTAATGTCCCCTCCTGGCTCTTCTTAGCTCTCTCTTTAGGTCCTTCCTGGCTAACTTGTAACTCTCAAGCGCCCTAACTGAGCCTTCACGCCTCATCTCTACATAAGCCTCCTTCTTCCTCTTGACAAGAGATTCAACTTCTTTAGTAAACCACGGTTCCCTCGCTCGACCACTTCCTCCCTGCCTGACAGGTACATATTTCTCTAGGACACGCAGTAGCTGTTCCTTGAACAAGCTCCACATTTCAATTGTGCCCAGCCCCTGCAGTTTCCTTCTCCATCCTATGCATCCTAAATCTTGCCTCATCGCCTCATAATTGCCTTTCCCCCAGCTATAACTCTTGCCCTGCGTTATATACCAATCCCTTTCCATCGCTAAAGTAAACGTAACCGAATTGTGGTCACCAACACCAAAGTGCTCACCTACCTCCAAATCTAACACCTGGCCTGGTTCATTACCCAGTACCAAATCCAATGTGGCCTCGCCTCTTGTTGGCCTATCTACATACTGTGTCAGGAAACCCTCCTGCACACATTGGACAAAAACTGACCCATCTAAAGTACTTGAACTATAGCGTTTCTAGTCAATATTTGGAAAGTTAAAGTCCCCCATAACAATTACCCTGTTACTTTCGCTCCTATCCAGAATCATCTTTGCAATCTTTTCCTCCACATATCTGGAACTTTTCGGAGGCCTATAGAAAACTCCCAACAGGGTGACCTCTCCTTTCCTGTTTCTAACCTCAGCCCATACTACCTCAGTAGACGAGTCCTCATCAAACGTCCTTTCGGCCACCATAATACTGTCCTTGACTAACAATGCCACATCTCCCTCTCTTTTACCATCTTCCCTGATCTTCCCTTGCTTCTGAATGAGCTGAGGAAATTTAGCCACACAATTCAGTCTCTTGTTGTCCCCACCCCAACATGGTTGGTGGGGACACAGTCAAGGGGGGAGGGCGGGCATTTTTTTGTTTATTTATTGATTCTTGTTTTTCCAGAATTGAAGGTATTTTCTTTTTGTTTTGAGAGTTGAGGAAACTTTCCATTCTGGTGAGATAGGGTAGAGGAAACGTTTCTCTGTATTTTACTGGTGCTGTCCCCATTCCAGGAGTGTCCGATGAGGGAGGTGTTGGGGCAGGAGGGTTCTTCACTTTTTTTTTGTTTCTATCTTTTATTTAAAAGAGGGTTCTTATTTGGATTGGAGGCAAGGCTCAGTGCTGGGTCCACTGTTGTTTGTCATTTATATAAATGATTTGGATTTGAATATAGGAGGCATGGTTAGTAAGTTTGCAGATGACACCAAAATTGGTGGTGTCATGGACAGTGAAGAAGATTATCTGAGAGTACAATGAGATCCTGATCAGATGGGCTAATGGGCTGAGGAATGGCTGAGATGGAGTTTAACTTAGATAAATGTAAGGTGATGCATTTTGTTAAGGCAAAACGGGCAGGAATTATACAGTCAATGCCAGGGCCCTGAGGAGTGTTGTCAAGCAGAAGGACCTAGGAGTGCAGGTACATAGTTCCTCGAAGTGGCATCTCAGGTAGACTGCAGTGAAGAAGCTGTTTGGCATGCTTGCCTTCATTAGTCAGAGCATTGAGTATTGGAGTTGGGATGTCATGTTGCAGTTGTACAAGACATTGGTCAGACCACTTTTACAACACTGCATACAACTCTGATTGCCCTGTTGTCAGAAGGATGTTTTTAAACTGGAAAGGGTGCAGAAATGATTTACAAGACTTTTGCTGGGATTGGAGGTTTTGAGTTATAAGGAGAGGCTGCATAGGCTGGGACTATTTTTTCCCTGGAGCGTCTGAGGCTGAGGGGTGACTTTATTAAGGTTTATAAAATCATAAGAGGCATAGATAAAGTGAATAGCCATGGTCTTTATCCCAAGGTTGGGGGAGAGCAAAACTAGAGGGCACAGATTTAAGGTGAGAGGGAGAAGATTTAAAAGGGACCTGAGGGGCAACTTTTTTCACAAGGAGGGTGGTGCGTGTATGGAATGAGCTGCCACACAAAGTGGTAGAGGTAAGTACAATTACAACATTTAAAAGACATTCGGACGGTTACATAATGAATGGGAAAGGTTTAGAGGGAGTATGGGCCAAATGCAGATAAATGGGATTAGTTCTGTCTAGGATACCTGGTCAGCACAGACGAGTTGAACCAAAGTGTCTGTTTCTGTGTTGTATGGCTCTAAGTTTAATGTTCAGAATTCATTGTGCAGAAATGTAGTGAAGGTGGGATCCATCAAGTTATCCAAGACGGAGACAGAGTGTAGTCGTGATGGGCCAAATGACCTCCTTCTATCAGTTACTCTTCTATATCCTGAAGTCATTGACAAATTATAACCATCAACTATTGATGAGCCAATAAACCAGAGACCAAGTGAGGAAAATCCCAGGGATGGAGACTTTTGGGATCCCTAGGTACAAAGTTACCTTTTGCTCTCATACTGTATCCCTAAGTGCAATTTCCTGAAATAACCATCCCTTATGGGCAAGGTGCTATATGATCAGTTTGGGAAATTGTTCGAGTCTGAGAGTCAGTACGTTCAGAAGACGAGGGTTAAATAAGGTAACTTGTTTCAGTGGTATGAAGGGATACTTATGGCTGTGATACAAATGTTGTCACATTAAACAATTTTGACACGCACAAACCAGGAAGTGGACATGGGCCTTTTTCTGGGAAAAGTCAACATTCTTATTTTAGTGATTTTAAAGCCAGTATTCTGCAAACCTGTGTAAAGTAATTCAACATTAGGTGACAGACCGGTCCACAGTGTTTGTTCAGTTGTTTCCTGTTGCAGTAGCTTGCAAAAGTATATAGTAGGGATTATCCAGGAGTTTCCAGAAAGATCAATTTCTTCAAACTGGATCAAATATCACAGGGTCATTAAAAGCAGTGCAGCAAATTTTTTATTAACTGGCTGCTGGACCGAGAGTGTATTGGTTGTTCAAATATTCTGGTTGATCAAGAGGTCCATATATTCAATGTAAAAACACAAAGTAATAGAAACAGTATACAGGGGCTATACACATCACTGTTATATTTTATTTACAGCATAAATCACTTTACCTTAAATAAAACTTACTGCAGAGAGTCTTCTCACTTCCACCCTTAACTGCGTGGAGATTGCAAAAATACAGAAAATGTCCGGTATTTCAGGAATATAATTTTTGCTGGTTTATCAAGAGTGCTGGTTCATTGGGTGCCGGTTAAAACAAAGTTTGTTGTACTTTGTTTTTAAATTTCCTTGTGAAGTTTTGATCATACAATATTCGAAGTGGGAAATAAAGCTGTTTTACCATTGTGAATTACTCAGTGTGGGTAACAGAGAGTTTGAGAAGGCTGTTCACCAGGACAATGATTGTGTTATTCAGCAGCTGGCTCTCCCTCCAGACCTTATCACTTTCCAGACCCCATCTTCTCTCCCTCCAGACCAAAACCTTACTCCCCAGGTCTCACTCTCCACACAGGCCCAAACCTCACTCCCCAGGTCTCACTCTCCACACAGGCCCAAATCTCACTCCCCAGGTCTCACTCTCCACACAGGCCCAAACCTCACTGCCCGGGTCTCACTCTCCACACAGGCCCAAACCTCACTCCCCAGGTCTCACTCTCCACACGGGCCCAAACCTCACTCCCCAGGTCTCACTCCCCACACAGGCCCAAACCTCACTGTCCGGGTCTCACTCTCCACACAGGCCCAAACCTCACTTCCCAGGTCTCACTTTCCACACAGGCCCAAACCTCATTCCCCGGGTCTCACTCTCCACACAGGCCCAAATCTCACTCCCCAGGTCTCACTCTTCACACAGGCCCAACCCTCACTCTCCATTCAGATCAGGCGATTATATCAAAGCTGAACATATTAAGTGTGATCCTCATCATCTCATGATGTTTCCTGCCGAAGTTGCTTGTTATTGGTCTTTTTTTCTGCCTGCAGCTGTTCCTCTGATTGAGCAGGTGACAGTATCTCCATTTCTGATGTTTTTCTGATGTAGAAGGTGTTTGTGTTTTAACCCACATTATTGACCATTTTGGCACATAGCTGATGAGCAGTGGATGATCTGGGCATATTTGCTGAGAAAGTTAGAGAGAGCTACAGTCTATCCAGCTGGTCTGGCACTGCTTACACACAGCAATGGGCACTCGCCTCCCTCACCTTCATAAACATAAAATACTCAGTGACAAAAAGGGGAATTGTTCACATCTATCATTCTGGGACAGCTCCCACCAGGTGCAGGTAGCTTATATCTGATCTTTTATGCACTGACAGGACCAGGCAGCACAGCCATTTCCAGTAAGGAGCTTGCTGTAAACAGGTCACTGTGGACAAAATGGTTGGCGCAGTCTTCATATCATCATTCCTCTGATGTAATGAACACTGCATCAATTATTAAATCTCGGATTGTGATCTGAGATGCAGTGAAAAGAGTAGTAACTACCTCTTTAAAAACTTCCAGCTTTGTGCATTTGCACAAGAAATTCATTAGCTGTGACCTCAACAAACTGGAAGCTGTACTTAGGGAGATGGATTTTCGAGTTTAAATATATGCATTAGTTATTTTGAAAGAAAAGACTTTTGTTGCTATAATTTGCATATTGTGCCAATGTAAATACTGTGGTGTCTACAAAATCACACTTTCCTTCTGTTGTGACTTTAAATTTACTGGAGAGTTGATCATTATTAGGGATGGTGATGAACTCTTCTAGTTCTGTTTCTGTATGAGTCCACTAACCCATGTGCAAACACAATTACAGAAAGAATTGTTACCGTGTTAATGTACCACCTAATAATTAGTGAGAATGAAAATGTCACACTAAAAATGAAAAAGTACCTTCCACGAGGGGTCCCTCTTCCTCAAGATGATTAAAGTATTCTACGAAAGTACAATATTAAACATGTTCAGTTATTCAATAATGTTTATTCAAAGGAAAGAAATATTTTCACACAATAGAATGGCACACTGTAAACAAAAGCCAGCAGATTGAGAATGATATGTGTTGTACATGAAAAGCATATGAAAGAATGTCAAGATTGCAATGGGAAGAAAGAGCCAAACCAAACAGCGTCTCTGTCACACAAACCTGCTCAATAGGGGCTGCTGCAGTGATTAGCACACTGCAGTGGGAAAAGGGCACCAAACAATGTGAAGCAGTGAGCTTTCACATAGCCACAGCAAAAGTTATGATTTGACAACTAAACATACCTAATAGTCACATCCCTACAATAAATTTAAGGGGAAGCATCACAGATTGGATTACTGCCAGAGACAAAGCTCTAAGGGCTGTTGGTGCAATCCATAAAGAAAGGTGAATTTTGTTACACCTTGTCAAATTGCCCAGGAACTTGCCAACATTTTTCCCACACAATGTATTTGAGAAATTTGAGTATCTTCATGTTCAAAGCCACAAAGAATGAATGGAGACAGAATCAGAGAGGGTCTGAATGAGGATCTCTGAAACAGTTGGCTGTGGTTCTCTGTGGAAGAGCCTGTGTGAAGTAAGGCACTTTGAGAAACAAAGGAGGAAATAATTAACACAATAATCTAGTTTAATAGGAAATGTAAGAATATAAAATTCCTACATTTTACAATCTGACCTATTGATGAAGAATGAAATACTTGCTGAAAATGAAGATTGTGAAGGCTGCTTATGAACCATCCCAGTTTGATCATGGGAGTGGCATTCCTGGGTGGTCTGGAAATGGGACACAGAATAAAACCGGCTAGTAGCTTTAACATGCACCTCAAGCAGGTAGCACTGCCCAGTTGAAGCAAATCCAGGCGGTAGAATTATCCAGGCTGAGATCACCTGATAATCTGCAGTGTTGCTATACGTAGAGGATATCTCACAACTCGCTGTGCTGTTGGTTGGACAATCATACAAACTTGTTAATAAGCAGATTCCACTTGGAATATAGTGATTAGAACATTGACTGAGTTAATAAAATGTTTGGAGTTTTTTGGAGAAAAACATGGGCTTTAAGCAGGAAACCCGGAGATATTTTCTCCTCTTACTTCTCAGGAGTAACACTTTTGAGGTAATAGATCCAGGACATCATACCTCCCATCCCTGCAGAACCCGGGCACGATATGACCAACTTGCCAGTGACAGGATATTTGGAGATACCTGAAGATGCTTCGAAGCTGACAATTACAACGTGGGTTTTCTTACCACGCAGTGTCTCTGAGGGCTTGCAGGCAAATGCCGGATTGTCCACTTGGAAGGAGTAGGTGGTTGTTTGGGGGAAGATATTCTTGAATGGGATGGAAGCAGTAGAACCAGCTCGAACTGAGAAGGGACCCTGAGGTTTTGCAGACAAACACACTCCAAGGAGGGGGACGTTGTACTCGCCTCCAACAGAAGAGTTGACGTTGAGTATTGCTCTGGACTCCCCCAGACAGAAAGGCTCGTAGATCACCTCCACACCCACCTCTGAGCCACCCATCGAGGCCGGTGGGACTGTGATGCTTTTCTCCACCAGGAATTGGGGACTGTCAACCTAAGGGGAGCAATAGTTGAATCAGGTTGTTACATCCAGATCGCAGAGAGCTCAGCAAAGTTACAGGCAATCTGATCAGCAATGCTCAGCAGCATCAGAAATTCCAAATGCAAAAATAAATTGAAATCAAAGCTAAAAATTCAAGTAGGAGCCTTTGGTTCACACACTTTGAATCATTCCAAAGCACACCACCTTACAACCGTTCAACAGCACCTGCAGAAACATGGTTTAAATGCGGAGCACAGCTCCTAATGTGACATTCAGTCAGCATCACTGAGAGGAGCGGGTGAGGGGAGGACACTCACTGAGAAGCAGACAGGCGGTGACACAAGTGAGACACAGGACTTAAACAAGAATAAGACTTTTGCAACTGCATGGATCTCTGTAGGAAGTCAGATTCCAGTAGGCTGTTTGTGTTGCTCTTTTTCTTCTTCGCAGAGACTGTATGAAACAAATTGAGAGCCCTTTCCATGTACTTATAGGTAAATTTTGATGAATAAAGTATATTTTTGAATTAAAAAATGCTTTCCAGTCGATACTTAAGTAGGAGCAAGGCCAAAATAAAAGCAGAGGAACTATGCTTCATTTAGCTAAGTTATGTCTAACAACTCAGGGCCATGATTTACACATCCTGCACCATGTGAGAAATTCTAGGCACTCCTGGATGACCATACTATATGGTGGAGGTGCCTCTGGCTGGAGCAACTCAAGCTCTGGGTTTTGAAGCTTGAATGGCAACTGGAGACACTATGGAGCATTCATGAAGCTGAGAGATTTGTGGATCATGCATTTCAGGACATAGCTACCCCACAGCATTATGAACTGCAGCCAGAGGGAATGGGCTACCACCAGACAGAAGGGTGTATCTCACGAGCAAATCATTTGGGCTTGGAAAATGGCGAGAGTGATGGTTCATCTGAGAGAGCCAGAGGCGGGGCCATGGTACTGAAGGTGGTCCTGCTGGGGGGGTAGGCGGGTGGGATTGGGGAGATGTGTTTGAAGTGTGGAAGGCTTATAATGGTAGAGGCTTCCTCAGTGAGGGGAGTAGAGAGGGGCTTTTGTAGACGTAGATGTGACTCCAGAATGTGATGTTGCCTCCCAGGTACCAGGGTCAAAGATGCTGCAATTCAGCTGCAGCGTATTCTGAAGCAGGGGAGGGTTAGCAGCCGGAGACTGTGCTCCATCTTGGGATCAGTGATATAGGAAGCAAGCAGACTTTAAGGAGTTGCAGGTGAAAATTTCCTCATGGAAATGACATTATGGCAATAACAGAGACTTGGCTTAAGGAGACCGGATGTTGAATACTCCTGGGTGTGAGGTATTTAGAAGAGATTGAAAAGAAAGAAAAGGAGATGGGGTAACAGTACTGGTTAAAGAGGGCACTGCAGTGCTGGAGAAAGAGGATATCTCAGATACTTCAAGAACAGAGTTAACTTGATTACAGCTAAGAAATAAAAAAGGGACAATTACATTGCTCAGTGTAGCCTACGGACCACCAAACAGTGGAAAGGATGTTGAGGAACAAATCCACAGGGAAATCACAGAGAAATGACAACGTTACAGAGGAGTTATAACAAGGGGCTTCAATTTACCAAAATAAAGAGTGGGGCAACTTGTAGTATGAAAGTGAGCAGCAATTGATCCTGGATTACGTGATAGAGAGCTTCCTACAGCAGTATGTGCCCAGTTCATCATGAAAGGGTGCATTATTGGACTTGGTTCTTCGAAGTAAAAATGGACCAAGTGTCAGTGGAGGAATATTTAGCTGGCAGTGACCATAAAATCGTGGGGATAGTGGTGGGGAGTGACGTGCAACCGTCCAGAGTGAGAAAAGTTAATCGATGGAGAGTGGTCTTTACTGGGGCATGAACAGAGCTTGGTAGGAATGACTCAAATGAGAGGCTAGTGGGAAAAATAGTAACCGAGCAGAGAGCTCCTTCAAAGAGGAGATGCTTTGGGTACAAGTCAAGGTATATCCCCTAATAATGGGAAAGGTAGGTCAAACAAATGAAACATAATTAAGAAAAAGATGAAAGATGTGCTTCTGGCAGACAGCAATAAGTAAAGCACACAATGTCCTCAATGTTATTAATAGGGGCATAGCGTACATCAGCAAAGAGGTGATGTTGAACATGTACAAGAAACTTGTTAGATCTCAGGTGGAGTATTGTGTACTGTTGTGGATGCCACATTATAGAAAATGCAAATGTACTGGAGAGAGAGAGGATGGATTGGAGAAGTGGGGACTGCTCTCCCTGGACAGGAGAAGGCTGAGAGGAGATTTGATAGAAGTTTTCAAAATCATGAGGTGGGTGGACAGGGAGAAACTGTTCCCATTCATAAAAGGATCAAGAACGAGAGGGCACTGATATAAAGGTTTCACACTTCTGCAAAATGAGCAAGGATGATGTGGGGAAAGAAAATTTTCACACATTGAGTGGTTTGGATCTAGCTTGCGCTGCCTGGGAATGTGGTGAAGACAGCTTCAAAACTGAGGCATTCAAGAGGGCATTCGATAATTATTTGAGCAGAAACAATATGCAAGGGATGGGAAAAGGCAGGGGATTGGTACTAAGGCATTATAGTCATTTGGAGAGCTGGTGAAAACATGATGACCCTTATGGCTTCCTTCTGTATCAAAACACTTTTGTGATCCATCTGGAACATACCTTACAGAAGTATTCAATTTTCTGGCGGGAGTGGTTTAGGAACTTGGCAGTGAGGGTCTGGCTGCCACCAAAGTTAGTCCGGAAGTGGAGTGGTTTCTCCAGGCCTGCTGGCTTGGCTTTCAGGATCAGATCATAATGATAGAGTCCTAAATCACCGTTGTTTAGTGTAAGGCGCCCTGTGACTTCGCCCACTTTGAGAGGCTGATATTCAAAAGACAGTATACCCTATGGAGAGAAAGGAAAGCAGTACAATTGGACAAAAATCCACCAACAGATCTTAGCAACAGAACATCAACGATGAGAGAGTATATATGATTCAGAATAAGTCAGAACCTTGTGCACTCTCTCAACTTCGCCCAGACCTGCTCCATATCCTCACATCCTCCAGCCTCTATTTTCTGGTGCACAGGCCCATACAAAAGATGCTCATGCAAGTTAGGTTAACATCAGGACTTCTATATTTCTTGCTGCTTGACAGCTCCCAATTTGAATGCTGAATGAGGAACAATCTATGAGACCTTAGGGTTCTGCATTAGGGATGTAGCAGCGACTTTTCCTTGTGCTCTGAGAATGCTACTCTGCAGGACCCCAGTGGGCATAAATAAAAGTCTCAAGTAAACAAATATATTTTTTCCATGTTATTCCAGTCATTTGGTTTGTCTCCAGCACCACCTTATTTTTAATTTTTTGTAATTACCTCTCTGCCTCATTTAATCAGATTATAGGTGACCCCTTTGTTTGTTATTCAGCTGTTGGCATTTTATTCACACCATCTGACACTTTTGATCACCTGCAGAGACTTATTATTTGACACTTGACTCACACTAGTTGTACGATCTTTTTATCTCTCTGCCCTTGATCTGCCAATAAATTCTGTGTCTGTGTGCTTCTCTCTCACTTCACCTGACAAAGGGGTTCTGCTTTGAAAGCTTGTGTTTTCAAATAAACCTGTTGGGCTATAATCTGGTGTCATGAGACTTCTGACTTTGTCCACCCCAGGCAGCACAGTGGCTCAGTGGTTAGCATTGCTGCCTCACAGTGCCAGGGACCTGGGTTTGATTTTACCCTCGGGCGACTGTCCATGTGGAGTTTGCACATTCTCCCTGTGTCTGCGTGGGTTTCCTTCGGGTGCTCTGCTTTCCTCCCACTGTCCAAAGATGTGCAGGCTAGGTGGATTGGCCATGCTAAATTGCCTGTAGTGTTCAGGGATGTGGAGCTTAGGTGGGTTATAGGGGGATGGGTCGGTGTGGACTTGTTGGACAAAGGGCCTGTTTCCACACTGTAGGAATTCTATGATCACCAGCACCTCCACATCATTTTTTTTTCAGGCAGTGACTTAATGAGAGCCCCCTAATATCAAAGTTATAGTGCTTCCCTTTCCCTCATGTAACATAGTTTGATGGCCTGAGGAATCCATCTCTTACAGTCCAATCATCCCAGGCCAAGGTAATGTAGGGGTAGTGGAGAGGACATCTCTGGGGCAGCTGGCAGACCTAAAGGTAGGGATGCTTCTGCACTGGAAGATGCAGCTCCCAGCTACCAATGTGCTCTCCTGCTCAATGTCATTTTTGTAGTATACAAAATTTTTCTCAGGAACACCTCCATTTTGCTTTGGCTATCTCAGAAACATAGAGATCTACAACACAGGAAAAGATCTTTCTATCCGCTGTGTCACGCCAGCCAAAAACAATCAGCTGACTAGTCACTTGGCCCATATATTTTGGCATCACAAGTGCACATCTAAATACTTTTTGAATGCTATGAGGGTTTCTGCCTCTCCCACCCTTAGAGGTAGTGAATTCCAGATCGTTATGATCTTCTGGGTAAGAAGTTTTTTCTCGCGTCTCTTTTAAACCTCTGTCCCTTACTTTAAATCTATGCCCATGGTCAGTGGTTCCTTCATCAAGGGGAATAATTCCTTCCTGTCTATCCTGTAAATGCCGTCATAATTTTACATCTCAATCATGTCCCCTCTCAATTTCCAGTTCTCTAAAGAAAACAACCCCAGTCCATCCAATCTCATTTCATATCTGAAATTCTCCCGCCCAGGCAACATCCTGATGAATCTCCTCTGCACCCTCTCCAGTGCTATCACATTCCTCCTATAATGCAGATTCCAGACCTGCACATAATGCTCTAACTGTTACGTAACTAACATATTATACTGTTCCAACATAACATCCCCGCCCTTTAACTCTTTACCTGAGCTAATAAAGGCAAGTATATCTTCTTAACCACTTTATCCAGCTGTCCTGATACCTTAAAGGATTGGTGTACTTGCATACCAAGGTCCCTCTGATCCTCAGTGCTTCCCAGAGTCCTACTATTCATTGTGCATTCCCTTGCCTTGTTTGTCCTGCTTTAGTGTCTTACTTCACATCTATCAGATTGAATTCCGCTTGCCACTGATCAACTCATCTGACCGGCCCATCAATATCCTCCAGTAATTTCAAGCTAACCACCTCATTATTTACTGTCCCACCAGCTTTTGTATCATCTGCGAACTTACTGATCTACCCTCCTACATTCAAGTCTAAAACATTTATAAAGAACAAACAGCAAAGGCCACAACACTGACCCCTGTGGGACCTCATTAGACACAGACTTCCAGCTGGAAGAACACCCCTCAACCATCAGCCTCTGCTTCCTGCCACTCAGCCAATTCTAGATCTAATCTGCCAAATTTCCTTGGAACCCATGGGCCCTTACCTTTGTAATCAGTCCCCTATGTGGAACATTATCAAAAGCCTTGCTGAAGTCTAAGTAGACTACATCAAAATTGTTGCCCTCATCTCCATACCTGTCACCTCTTCGAAAAGTTCAGTCAAGTTGGATAGAGGTGATCTTGCCTTCACAAAACCAAACTGACTGCTCTTAACTAATCCCTGCCTCTTCAAATGCACATTAATTCTATCCCTCAGAATTGCTTCCAATTGTTTCCACATAACCAAGGTTATCCTGCATTCTCCAGAACCTGATGGAAACATTCCTCATGGTTTCATTCCTGAAGACCAGTTGGGTAGATGTGAACTAAAATCAATGCAGAAATGAGCCAATCTGAGGTCTCCTTGATAATATACCTCCTCTGGCTTGGTGCCAGCTGGATTTGCTTGGTATATATGTGGCAATGATGTTACTTGCCACTAATCAGCCTGTCTGGATATTGTCCAAGTGTTGCTGCGCATTTGGGCACAGACTCCTTCAGTATTTGAGGAGTCGTGAATGGCGCTGAACATTGTGTTATCATCAGCGAACATCACCACTCTTGACCTTATGATGGATAGAAGGTCATTGATAAAGCTGCATAAGATGGCTCTATTCCATACCATATAGCTACTAGGCTCCAGTCAGAAATAAAGTACATACAAATTCACATTTGCTGCAATCCAGCAAGAAGGCTTTAATCCAAAGAAGCTAAAACAAGTCTGACTGAGCTCACAAACCTGGCTGATGACTCACCAGTGCTCACATAACTCACATCTTAAAGGGACACCGTCCCAATATAACATACCCAACTACGATACAATACAAAGTCAGAAGTCACACGACACCAGGGTATAGTCCAGTAGGTTTATTTGACATCATAAGCTTTTGGAGCACTACTCCTTCATCTGGTGAAGTGACTTCACCTGACGAAGGGGCAGTGCTCCGAAAGCTTGTGATTTCAGATAAACCTGTAGGGCCATAACCTGGTACTGTGTGACTTCTGACTTTGTCCATCCCAGTCCAACACTGGCACCTCCACATTACAACAATGATACACAACAGACTGGGCCTAGGACACCCTGAGGAAATCCTGGAAAGATGTCCTGGAGCTGAGATGACTGCCCTCCAACAACCACAAACATTTTTCTTTGTGGCAGGTATTACTCGAACCAGCAGAGAGTCTTCTCCCTAATTCCCATTGATTCCAGTTTTGCTTGAGCCCTTTGCTAGCACATTCAGTACAGCTGATTGTCTTCTAAATAATCAAAACTAGCTGAATGTGCATTGTGATGTGAAACTCAGTCAAGCACATCTTCAGCTGCTTTGCTCTAGACTTACAGAATACACAATAGTGTGATAGTTTCAGCACAAGACATTAGAATTCGACTCCAGTGCAACTTGAATAGAATACCTCAACCTGCAGTATAATAATAGCTCGCTGCCCTGATGTCCCAGCTCCCCGTTGAGTTTGCCCGCTGCACTTACCTTTGCCTGTGGTGGGACAATGAGCTGCGTCGGGAGAGAGATATCTGTGATTTTACATTCTGTGGTGAATATAGTTGGGACAGTCAACGGATTCTCAACCTCCACTGTCCCAGAAGTGCTCTGGCGAACCGGAGCCACCAACTCTATGGTGCCATTCAGACCAGGAGATGTGGATTTAATGTTAACGACATAGTAAAGGTATTCCTGAGTAGTCTCATTACGGAAGGTCACCTGTGGAGGCAGATTATTAGGATCTTTCGGCATTTTATTCAGTAACATCTATTAGACACATCCTGTACTTTTGGTAGGCATTTAGATACACTGGCCCAATCCTATGTGACTCCTCTGAGAATGATAGTTCTCTGAACTCTGGAGAGTATAAATCGCATCTATTTAAAATTTCCCAAATACAATCTAAGAAAAAACATAAACTGGGATAACAAATTCAGAAGCCAATTTCTTTGAATTCTCCACCAGAGTGTCTTATTACGTTCTCACCATCACATCTGAAGAATATATTTAATTCTACACGTTATCCTCCCAGAAACATTGCTATGAATGCAACATTAATCAGGTTGGCACTATTGAGCAGAAATGACTGCAGAAAATCATGGAAGTGACAGATGCCAAAGAGAAAACGATTGGAGTGATAAGTGTTTCAGCAATCCTTAAGTGTTGGATTTATGTGGATTATCTATGTTAAATATGGCAAGAGATGAGTGAATCCTCAAGGGAATGGCCCTTATCAACTGTTTGCAGCTGTGGTTCCCTCTGGTCTCTCAGTGGATTTTATCATCCATATTCACAGCCTGTGTCTTCTTTTCTACATGATATTGGGGTATGACCACTGACCAAATTCCATGTTTGTATGAATATGTTTCATCAGGGGCAAACAACAAAGTCCAAGGTTCTTCTTGAGGATAGGATTACCTATTTCTTACAACATACTCAGCTAACTGTAACTTGTTGAATCTAGGCCAAGTCTGACACAGTTCACTAATGATTACCTATGGCAGCAACAACAGATGGGTCTCAGTTGCAGGTTTCCCATTTCCCAATGAAAAAGAGCATTGAGCAGGATGTAATAGTCCTAGTTGCTGAATATATCACATTTATCAAGCTATATTTGGCCTTCTTTCAGCTGTATTTTTCTTAGTTATATCTGTCATTTAAAGTGTAATTTCTAGTTTATTATTGGCTATGATTTATCTAACTTAATGATTCTGGGTCTTAGATTGTAGGAGATTACCTAAGACTATATTTAGTGTGTGCTTTGTGTGACTCATGGATATAATAAAAAAAATCTTGTTTACACGGAATCTGGTTTCATTCCTTTAGTAAATAACTACATTTCGGATTTATTTCTCGAAAAAAAATCCCTACTGAGATTGTAACACCTTCACCACCTTAGGCGACTCCAAGTGCTTTGCAACCAGTTAGGTATGTTGTTATTTTATAGTCATTATTGAAACATCAGAAACACAGAAGCTAATTCCACATTATTCCACAAATGGTACCAATACATGAAAATTGATTTTATTGATGTTGATTAAGTGAAAAATATTTGCCAGGATATTGGGGAGAACTCCTCTGCTCTTCTTCAAATAGTGCCATGCAATCTTTCACTTCCAATTGAGAGGGCAGATAGAGTCTCAATGATATCTTGTCTGAATGGGCAGAACCTAATGTAGTACTTCTTCAGTACTGCACTGGGAGGATCAACCCAGGCTCATTTCTAGAGTGGGATATCTTCCACAACATGCTGGGAGAAGAGGACGCTTGTACCTTGAGAAGCCATGAGCACAGATCAGCAACTTTGAGAAGGAAAGAGAAAAGTATGCAGCAAAAAGTGTTTAATTACAGTTATTGGGGTTTCTAAGGCCACTAACATGGACATTTAACACATAATGTATAAACATACAGTGGTAGCTTCATAACTGGATCATGACAGGGAATGTCAATCAAGGAATTGTGAGCCTATGCTTTCCTATTCATTGTATTGCTCAGAAGAAGATAACTTGTAGGTTGGAATGTCCTCTCCTAAAATCTTTGCAAGCTTTGTTCCAGTTGTGTAATCAACTCACCACAAGGGATTATATATGCTCGGGAATTATAACTCCACAATGCGCATCTTACACTTAGGGCTTTTGGAAAGTGCTGGGAACCTGCAGAGAAGATTTCACTAGAATCCTGGAATCTGTCTATGCTCCACTTTGAGTCACACAGCACAGAAGACCATTCAGTTCAGTGTGCCTGTGCTGGAGTGATGAAGCTAATCCCATTCCCCTGCTCTATACAGATTGCCCTACAATATTTTTCCCTTCAAGTTATTATCTAATTGCCTTTTGAAACTTGTTTCTGAATCTGTTCCCACCACTTTTTCAGCTAGTGCATGCTGGATCGTAACAGATCACTGCACAACCTACACCTTTCTCCTCTGGTACTTTTGGCAGTTACCTTTAATGAAGTTCCTTCAGGGGTTATCAAATCTCACATCAACATCCTTCATAACTTCGAGGACTACTTTTACATTTCTCCTTCACCTGCTTCTGCTCAAAGAAGAACAGCTCTCTCCCCCTGCTTATCTGCCAACCTCCTATAAACTGTAGCATAGAGCAGCAGTGATTCTCCCACCTTTACTGAGATGATTGCTTCCTTGTAGGTGAAGAAAGTGAGCCTGTACTCCCGCCTGGAAGACCCAGGAACATCGATATAGTCAAGTCCTTTCAACGTGGTGGTGCTCTCCAGTCTTTCGGGCTTGATCTGGTCCATGGTAGCTCGGAATCTACATTATTACATTACAACAGTCAGCATAGTTCTGAACAGTAGCAACGGTTGGAACACACAGGGACAATCTGCCCCCAGAAATCCCCAGATCACCCTGGAAAATCCACCACAGGGTGACCAATCAGAGCAAAATACATCCCCATATTTGGAATGGGATGAAGTGTTGAGGAGCCACTCTAACAAACACAGGCCAGTTTTCTCCCATGCTTTCTGCCGAAAGGCTCTCTAGTGAACTTATCAGCAACAAATCCGGTAGATAAACAGCCTGTGATTGGAGGAGTAATGAACAAACACGAAAGTCCGTAGCTGGTATTGAGTGAATCAGCAGGGTGTCAGGGATTTGGGGCTGGAAGTCTGAGGGGGAGAGAACTGGGTCTTTGGGGTGGGTGGTGGAAGTCATGAGAGTGATGTTGGGGGTGTGTGAGAGCTGCAGCCAGGATAGGTGACTCCAGGAATGTTGAGGGCAGGAATACATTTGTGGTTGCAAAATATATGTGTGGGGGCTGAGGGGAATGAGGCTGCAAGAAGTGTGAAAGAAGAGAATGGGAATGCAAACAGGCTGTGGAGGGAGGTTGCAAAGGTGGGAGAGCAGTCTTACACTTCAAGAAAGCTCCACTCAGCTAATTGGGATCTTAGAAAACTTCAAATCACTGAGGTAATGACTTCCTTGCAAATACATGTGGAATCTTTAGAGCTTTGCAAATTCATGATTTACCAAATTGGAAAAATGTGGTGGATTTTACTGCAATGAAGTTGTTAAATTTAAATCTGAGATTGAGATCCAAGGTGCAATAAATAAATAAAGCTGTAATTGCCAAGTTAGAGTGTTCCAACTTTGTGCATGTGTGATAGAAATACAATAGCTGTGACCTCACCAATCTGTGGAAAGTGTGTTTAGGGTATTGGCTTTCCATATGTCAAAATATGGACCAGTTATTTTGGAAAAAAAAATAGCTTGTTCAATTACACCTGTTGTCTTGAACCAATTTAATACTCTAGTGTCCAGGAAATCAATGCTTTATTTATAAGCCGTGGCTTTGAATTCAGTGGAGAGTTGATTAATTATTGAGGAATTATTTCTAATTCTGCTCCTGTGTGAATACTCCTTATGTCAACACAAATACAAGAGATATTATTACCATAGGACTACATCACATAATAAATGAGTCAGTGAGAATGAAAAAGTAGCCCTTGAGAAAATCCCAAGTAGGGTCCTTGATAAAGGACACTTATTTGGACCTTCTCTGGAATAGTGTAGTGCATTTAACATCATCTGTAATACCCTCCTCGACACACATTTTCTTTTGCTAAATTCTTTCCTCCTCCACTCCCCACTTTTATCAGGATAGTGTTCCAAGGTGCCAATAGCTCTCCATATCCCATCCATGTGCCAACCTGGATGGTGAGTACTAGTCAAATGTCTGACTAGACACATGTGCTCTCAGCAGAAGTTATTCAACATTGATCAGAGACCCTCAACCTCAAAGCAGAAGAGCTTGAACTACAGAATTTAATTGAAATGAATGAGGCTTTTTGTCACACGTTTTCACATGGACACAGTGAAGAGTTTACAAGTTGCTCACAGTGTCATGTTAGGTACAAAGGTACCTAGGTACAGAATCTTAAGTCCAAAACAGAAAAGTAAGGAAAACAAAGTTTAAAAAATTAAACATTGCAGTCTTTCTTATATTACAACCTCCTTGCCAGTTTCTTTGATGGGATCAGCTCATTCAGCACAGATAAGGATCAAACCTTAGGCCTCAGAATTACCATGACTTAACCTGGGTGGTACATATACACCCAAAGACATAAATAGAATGGCGAGATACAATAGCACATCTGGGATCATCTCTATCAGGCCTCGCTCCAGTCAATGGTAAGAGTTTTGTTATGTTAGTGTTGGTATCACTTTCAAAAATCAAACTGCTGTAAAGAGTTAGAATCAGTGCTAATCCTTCCTGTTAATATTTTGTAAGCTGGCTCCACCTTTCTGCTGCTTGAACTGTGATTGGGAAGTGTACGGACCATGTTAGTGTCGAGTGATGAGCTGAAAATCAGGGCAGGACTTATACGCTTAATGGTAAAGTCGTCAGGAGTGCTGCCGAACAAAGGGACTTTGGAGTGCAGGTTCACAGTTCCTTGAAGTTGGAGTCACAGGTTGACAAGGTAGTGAAGAAGGCTTTTGGTTTGCTTGCCTTTATTAGTCAGTGCATTGAGTATAGGAGTTGAGATGTCATGTTGTGGCTGTCCTGGACATTGATTAGGCCACTTTTGGAATACTGCATTCAATTCTGGTCTCCTTGCTATGGGAAAGATGTTGTTAAAATTGAAAGAGTGCAGAAAAGATTTACAAGGATGATGTCAGCGTTGGTGGATTTGAGCTATCAGGAGAAGCTGAATAGGCTGGGGCTATTTTCCCTGGAGTGCGCAGGCTGAAGGGTTAATTTATAGAGGTTTATAAAATCGTGAGGGGCATGGATTGGGTGAATAGCCAAGGTCTTTTTCCTAGGGTAGGGGAGTCCAAAATTAGACGGCATAAAGGTTTAAGGTGAGTGCAGAAAGATTTAAATTGGACCTAAAGGGCAATCTTTTCATGCAGAGGTGGTGTGTTTGTGGAATGCGCTGCCAGAGGAAGTGGTGAAGGCTGGTACAATTTCAACATTTAACAGGCATCTGGATGGGTATATGAATAGGAAGGGTTTACAGGGATATGAGCCAAATGCTGGCAGATGGAACTAGGTTAGTTTAGGATATCTGGTCAGCATGGACAAGTTGGACCGAAGGGTCTGCCTCTGCGCTGTACATCTCTATGACTCTAGGTGATATCCTGACCAAAAGACATCAAGGAATATCCTAAGGGTTCCACTGCAATTTTTGAATTTGCAATGGGTTAAATTTCAGATAGTTTAGCAGTTAGGTAGAGCTAAGTCTAAATGCATGTAGAGTCACTGACCTTTTATTCATTCATTCATTCATTCATGGGACGTAGGGATCACTGGCTAGACCAGCATGTAATGCACATCCCCAGTTAGAACATAGAACATAGAACAGTACAGCACAATACAGGCCCTTCGGCCCATGATGTTGTGCCGACCTATTGTCCTACTAAGATCAATCTACTCTGCATACCCTACATTTTACTATCCTCCATGTGGCTATACAAGAGTCGCTTAAAAGTCTCTAAAGTATCTGACTCCACTACCACTGCTGGCAGCGCATTCCTCACGCCCACCACTCTCTGTGTAAAGAACCTACCTCTGACATCTCCCCTATATCTTCCTCCAATCACCTTAAAATTATGCCCCCTCGTAATGGTCATTTCAGCCCTGGGAAAAAGTCTCTGACTATCCACTCTATCTTTGCCTCTCAGCATCTTGTAAACCTCTATGAAGTCACCTCTCATCCTTCTTCGCTCAAATGAAAAAAGCGCTAGCTCTCTCAACCTTTCCTCATAAGACCTGCCCTCCAGTCCAGGCAGCATCCTGGTAAATCTCCTCTGCACCCTCGCTAAAGCTTCCACATCCTTCCTATAATGAGGTGACCAGAACTGAACACAATATTCCAAGTGTGGTCTAACCAGAGTTTTATAGAGCTGCAGCATAACCTCACGGCTCTTAAACTCAATTCCCCTGCCAATGAAAGCGAACACACTATATGCCTTCTTTACAACCCTATCAACTTGGGTAGCAACTTTGAGGGACCTATGGACATGGATCCCAAGATCCCTCTGTTCCTCCACACTGTGGAGAATCCTGCCATTAACTCTGTATTCTGCATTCAAATTTGACCTTCCAAAATGAATCACTTCGCACTTTTCTGGGTTGAATTCCATCTGCCACTTCTTTGCCCAGGTCTGCAACCTGTCAATGTCCCGTTGCAACTTACAGCAGCCCTCCAGGCTGTCCATAACTCCACCAACCTTCGTGTCATTGGCAAACTTATTAACCCACCCTTCCACTTCCTCATCCAAGTCATTGATAAAGATCACAAAGAGCCGAGGTTCCAGAATAGATCCCTGCAGATCCCTGCAGTCACCGAGCTCCAGGCTGAATACTTTCCATCTACTACCACTCTCTGTTTTCTATTGGACAGCCAGTTTTGTATCCAGTCAGCCAAATTTCCCAGAATCCCATGTCTCCTTACTTTCTGAATGAGCCTACCATGTAGAACCTTATTGAATGCCTTGCTAAAATCCATGTACACCACATCCACTGCTCTACCTTCATCGATGTGTTTTGTCACATCCTCAAAGAATTCAATAAGGCTTGTGAGGCATGACCTGCCCCTCACAAAGTCATGCTGACTACTTCTAATCAAACTGTGCTTTTCCAAATAATCATAAATACTATCTCTCAGAATCCTCTCCAATAATTTTCCCACCACAGAAATAAGACTGACCAGTCTGTAACTTCCAGGATTATCCCTATTCCCTTTCTTGAACAAGAGAAAATGACATTTGCCACCCTCCAATCTTCTGGTACTACTCCAGTTGGCCTTGAAAAGGTGGTGATGAGCTGCCTTATTGAACTGCTGCAGTATATTTGCTGTAGGCATGTCCACAATGCAGTTAGGGAATGAGTGCCAGGATTTTGATTCAGCAACACTGAAAGAATGGCAATATATTACCAAATCAGAATTGTCTGCATGTCTTGGAGGGGAAATTGAAGGTGATGTTCCGATATATCTACTGCCTTTGTTTTTCTCAATGGTGACGATCGTGAGTTTGGAAGGTTTGGAAGAATTTCTGTATCCTGTACATAGAATACACTGCTGCAACTGAGCATTGGTGGTGGAAGGATTGAATGTTTGTGGATCTGGTGCCAGTTAATGGTGGTTTCATCCTGGATAGCACCGAATTTCTTGAGTAGAGAGTAAGTAGAGAGTATTAACATCATATGTGCTGTTGTAGCCATGAAATTTATATGGCTAGTCCTGTTCACTTTGTAATCAATGGTAATGCATAGGATGTTGTTTGTGAGAGAATTCAGTGATGGTAAT